CTGGTGTGTTAAAATTTTTTTTGGTCAAGGGTCTGGCGGGTTTTGGGGGGCCTCCCAAAAGTTGTTTGCCAGGCCCCTAATCTCCCCAGGGGCCCCTGTACTCCCTCCTCATGCTGCCCCAATTTTCCAATTTCTCTCGGGTCCCTGTAGGGGGCCCGTCCCTTTGGGCTCTGTCTCCATCGCCACACTCTGCCATGTCCACTTTCAGGTCTCCTCACCCCACGCGGGGTGTGTTCAATTTTTGGACTTTAGGGTGCTGGCAATTTTTGGGCCTCCCATGGGCCCCTCCCGGGCCCCCCCCCCCAAATCTGCCAGGGGCCCCTGTACCGCCCCTCATGCTGCTGGGGGGTTTCCACGGGGTCTCTTCCCTTTTGTCCATTTTCCCGGGTCCCCTCACATGCGGGTGTGTTCTTTTTTTTTTTGACATAGGGTCCCGGGGCAGTTTAGGGGCCTCCCTTTGCTGCTGCCACCCCCAAAATCGCCAGGGGCCCCCATACCCCCTCCCCGTGCTGCTGCCAGGTCCAAGTCTCTCATGGGCCCCTTAGGGGCCTCCCTTGTGCTGTTCCATCCCCAAACCCCTCTGCCAGGGCCCCCAAACCTTTCGGTTCCCACACTGCGGGTGTTTTTACATTTTTTGTCATAGGGTGCTGGCAGATTACGGGCCCCCTTAGCCTTGCTGCCCAGGCCCTAAACTGCCAAGGGCCCCTGTACTGCCTCCTCATGCTGCTGCCAAGTCCAGAGTCTCTCATGGGTCCCTTACGGCCTCCCATTGCTGCTGTCTCCATCGCCACACTCTGCCATGTGCCACTTTCAGGTCTCCTCACACTGCTGGTGTGTTCCATTTTTTGTCATAGGGTGCTGGCAGATTACGGGCCTCCCATAGCTGCTGCCAGGCCCCTAATCTGCCATGGGCCCCTATACCGCCTCCTCATGCTGCTGCCAGGTCCAGAGTCTCTCATGGGTCCCTTTTACGGCCTCCCATTGCTGCTGTCTCCATTGCCCACACTCTGCCATGTGCCACTTTCAGATCTCCTCACACTGCTGGTGTGTTACATTTTTTGTCATAGGGTGCTGGCAGATTACGGGCCTCCCATTGCTGCGTGCCAGGCCCGTAATCTGCCATGGGCCCCCGTACCGACTCCTCATGCTGTGAGGAAGAAGGGACTCCCTTCGAAACGCGTCAGTGGTACTGAACACCCATTCCCCTGATGGGACTCATGTTATCTTCAAGTCCCTGAGAGGACTTACATGCCTGATTTTATTCGCTGTTTGTGAGTATGTTTTTTACAAACAATAAATTTTGGTTACTGAGGTAATGCGCAAGGCTGGTGCGCTTCTTGTTTTTTTTTTCATTTTGTAGTGCTGATTGGGCTTCCCCAGCCTTGATTTGGAGCTGCACAGCCTTTTATGCATTGGTGGTCGTTCTCCCCAGGCCTGGTTCCATCTTGTGCCACCTGCCTGGGTTCCGGAGCGCAGGAGAATTCTCGTTTGTTTAACTTAGATGTCAGCCATTGGCAGCTCATGCGTGACACCTGCGCTTGCTCAGGCCCTTTGAGGAGGCCACGCTATTCGTGAGTCGGCAGGACTATGGGGTATGAACGACGTCATTCCTCTGTTGCACGTCCTGGAACAAATTCTGTTAATAATGGCTGGTCAGGTGCGGTAGATGTGGCGCACAGATCTCAACGCCACATGACCCCTGTGGGGGCAGGACAGGAAGAAGAGGAGGAGGTAGAGGAGGACATTGGTGCTCAGGAATTATTGAGTGAAATGGGTGGTTTTTCCACTCAGCGGACAGGAGTGGAGGAGCAGGAGCATCTGGTAGAGGAGGAGGAGACAGAGGACCCAAACGCACCGTGGCAGTATGCTGTGGAGATGGAGGCAGGGAGTCCCTCGCATTCCTTGGCACAAATGGCCCATAGCATGCTCGCTTGCTTGCGTAGCGACAGCCAAATAATAACCATCAGACAGAGGGATGACTTTTGGCTGTCCACCTTGTTGGACCCTCGCTACCGTTCAAAACTGGTGGCCTTTTTCACACCTGCTGAGAGGGAGGCCAAAATAACGTACTATAAAAACCACCTATGTAGTCAGCTGGTCTCTGCCTTTCTGCGCCAACGTCCATCCTCAGACACTGTGGGCCCTGTGCGCTTGCGTTCCGCTGCCATGGCAGCAGGGGAGGGGTGGGGTGGTAGGAGCAGTGGCAGCTCCACCAGCAGCGGCTGCCTCAGTCTGCAGTCGATGATGAGTAGCTTTCTTCACCAGCGCAGTGAGGAAACTACTAACGATGCCGCAGCAGCAGCAGCAGCATCAGGTGGACCTGTAGCAGGACCTCAAACAACAGGCTTAGGCCTACTTGGACAGCACCCTGCCAACCGAGGTAGACAATCCCCTTGACTACTGGGCAATGAAACTTGACCTTTGGCCCCAACTAGCTGAATTTGCCCTTGAAAGGCTGTCATGCCCGGCCAGTAGCGTGGCATCGGAGCGCGTGTTTAGTGCGGCAGGAGGTATTGTAACTCCGCGGAGGACACGACTATCCACCCAAAGTGTGGAGAGACTCACGTTTGTGAAAATGAATCAGGCGTGGATTAGTCTGGATTTCAAACCACCAGTTCCTGACACAACTGACTAAATCCGCCATGAATCATGCCCCAAACATGTGCCACTTTCAGGTCTCCTCACACTGCTGGTGTGTTAAATTTTTTGTCATAGGGTGCTGGCAGATTACGGGCCTCCCATAGCTGCTGCCAGGCCCCTAATCTGCCATGGGCCCCTGTACCGCCTCCTCATGCTGCTGCCAGGTCCACAGTGTCTCATGCCATGTGCCACTTTCAGGTCTCCTCACACTGCTGGTGTGTTCCATTTTTTGTCATAGGGTGCTGGCAGATTACGGGCCTCCCATTGCTGCTGCTGCCAGGCCCGTAATCTGCCATGGGCCCCTGTACCGCCTCCTCATGCTGCTGCCAGGTCCAGAGTCTCTCATGGGTCCCTGTACGGCCTCCCATTGCTGCTGTCTCCATCGCCACACTCTGCCATGTGCCACTTTCAGGTCTCCTCACACACTGCTGGTGTGTTCCATTTTTTGTCATAGGGTGCTGGCAGATTACGGGCCTCCCATAGCTGCTGCCAGGCCCCTAATCTGCCATGGGCCCCTGTACCGCCTCCTCATGCTGCTGCCAGGTCCACAGTGTCTCATGCCATGTGCCACTTTTCAGGTCTCCTCACACTGCTGGTGTGTTCCATTTTTTGTCATAGGGTGCTGGCAGATTACGGGCCTCCCATTGCTGCTGCCAGGCCCGTAATCTGCCATGGGCCCCTGTACCGCCTCTTCATGCTGCTGCCAGGTCCAGAGTGTGTCATGGGTCCCTGTACGGCCTCCCATTGCTGCTGCCAGGAGGCAGCAGGGTCGCAGCAGTGTCAGTGGAGGCAAACGGCCACGGAGTAGAGCACCAGCTCCACTGCAGCCTACCACCACGGCCAGTAGTGGTGCCGGTGTGCACGAAGGAAGTAGCAGTCAGCCAGTGAGGAGTAGCGGGGGCAAAGTTTCCTACCCGGCTCGGTGTGGCAATTTTTCGTCAAGCCGCCCGAGGAAGTAAACGTAGCCGTATGTCGACTATGTGGCCAGAAAGTCAAGCGTGGCCAGGGGGCCCATGTTGGGACTACAGCGTTGCATCAGCATATGCAGTGTCGCCATTCGTGTGGCCTGGGAAAACCGTGATAAAGATACGGCGGTTCTGCCTGCCCCAGCCCAGGGTTCCATTTTGTCATAGGGTGCTGGCAGATTACGGGCCTCCCATTGCTGCTGCCAGGCCTTAATCTGCCATGGGCCCCTGTACCGCCTCCTCATGCTGCTGCCAGGTCCACAGTGTCTCATGGGTCCCTGAACCGCCTTCCATTGCTGCTGTCTCCATCGCCACACTCTGCCATGTGCCACTTTCAGGTCTCCTCACACTGCTGGTGTGTTACATTTTTTGTCATAGGGTGCTGGCAGATTACGGGCCTCCCATTGCTGCTGCCAGGCCCGTAATCTGCCATGGGCCACAGTACCGCCTCCTCATGCTGCTGCCAGGTCCACAGTCTCTCATGGGTCCCTGTACGGCCTCCCATTGCTGCTGTCTCCATCGCCACACACTCTGCCATGTGCCACTTTCAGGTCTCCTCACACTGCTGGTGTGTTACATTTTTTGTCATAGGGTGCTGGCAGATTACGGGCCTCCCATTGCTGCTGCCAGGCCCCTAATCTGCCATGGGCCCCAGTACCGCCTCCTCATGCTGCTGCCAGGTCCACAGTCTCTCATGGGTCCCTGTACGGCCTCCCATTGCTGCTGTCTCCATCGCCACACTCTGCCATGTGCCACTTTCAGGTCTCCTCACACTGCTGGTGGGTTCCATTTTTTGTCATAGGGTGCTGGCAGATTACGGGCCTCCCATAGCTGCTGCCAGGCCCCTAATCTGCCATGGGCCCCTGTACCACCTCCTCATGCTGCTGCCAGGTCCAGAGTCTCTCATGGGTCCCTGTACGGCCTCCCATTGCTGCTGTCTCCATCGCCACACTCTGCCATGTGCCACTTTCAGGTCTCCTCACACACTGCTGGTGTGTTCCATTTTTTGTCATAGGATGCTGGCAGATTACGGGCCTCCCATTGCTGCTGCCAGGCCCGTAATCTGCCATGGGCCCCCGTACCGACTCCTCATGCTGCTGCCAGGCCAGTAATCTGTCATGGGCCCCTGTTGTCGCTTGTTGGCATATTCCGCTCGTTCAGATGCTCCTTCTCCTGCTACTCCTCTTCACGGATTCCGTCAGCAGTCTTTCTTGGAATCCGTTTCCAAGAGACAACAGTTTGCGAGCACGCACCCGACGGTGCAGAAGCTGAACGTCCTCCTGTCCAAGTTGCTGCTGCCAGGCTCGTAATCTGTCATGCGCCCCTGTACCGCCTCCTCATGCTGCTGCCAGGTCCAGAGTGTGTCATGGGCCCCCGTACCGACTCCTCATGCTGCTGCCAGGCCCGTAATCTGTCATGGGCCCCTGTACCGCCTCCTCATGCTGCTGCCAGGTCCAGAGTGTGTCATGGGTCCCTGTACGGCCTCCCATTGCTGCTGCCAGGCCCGTAATCTGCCATGGGCCCCCGTACCAACTCCTCATGCTGCTGCCAGGCCCGTAATCTGTCATGGGCCCCTGTACCGCCTCCTCATGCTGCTGCCAGGTCCAGAGTGTGTCATGGGTCCCTGTACGGCCTCCCATTGCTGCTGTCTCCATCGCCACACTCTGCCATGTGCCACTTTCAGGTCTCCTCACACTGCTGGTGGTTTCCATTTTTGTCATAGGGTGCTGTATGGCCTCCCGATGCTGCTGCCTCCACCGCCACACTGTGGCTCCACACTCTGGTTTTGGCCCCGTGACTGCCCAAATGAGTGAAGTGTGCGGTGATTCTAAGATCGACGGCACTCATCTGCATGTCATACTGACTGTCAGTATTATTTCTCTTCCCCAGCAGACTCCAAGGGCATTTAAATTAAAGGTACAGTGTTCTGCACTAATATAAAGGCTCTCTGAAGCCTAGAAACACCCTTTTATAAGTTAAATTCGCAGCGAATATATTCGACTCGAATCGAATTTTTCCACGAATTCGCCGAATCAGTCGAACCGAATTTTTGAATACTTCGCTCATCTCTACTTACAAACTTCAAGATTGTTCAGAATATAATGATTTTAAATTTTGACCATATATACAGGTAAAACTCAAAAAATTAGAATACCGTGCAAAAGTTCATTTATTTCAGTAATGCAACTTAAAAGGTGAAAATAATATATGAGATAGACTCATTACATGCAAAGCAAGATAGTTCAAGCCGTGATTTGTCATAATTGTGGTGATTATGGTTTACAGCTCATGAAAACCCCAAATCCACAATCTCAGAAAATTAGAATATTACATGCAATCAATAAAACAAGGATTGTACATAGAACAATATCGGACCTCTGAAAAGTATAAGCATGCATATGTACTCAGTACTTGGTTTGGGCCCCTTTTGCAGCAATTACTGCCTTAATGCGGTGTGGCATGGAAGGTATCAGCCTGTGGCACTGCTGAGGTGTTATGGAAGACCAGGATACTTCAATAGCGGCCTTCAGCTCTTCTGCATTGTTCTGTCTCATGTCTTTCATCTTTCTCTTGGCAATGCCCCATAGATTCTCTATGGGGTTCAGGTCAGGCAAGTTCGCTGTCCAATCAAGCACAGTAATCCCACGGTCATTGAACCAGGTTTTGGTTCTTTTGGCAGTGTGGGCAGGTGCCAAGTCCTGCTGGAAAATGAAGTCAGCATCCCCATAAAGCTCGTCTGCAGAAGGAAGCATGAAGTGCTCCAAAATCTCCTGGTAGACGGCTGCGTTGACCCTGGCCTTAATAAACCACAGTGGACCAACACCAGCAGATGACATGACTCCCCAAATTAATACAGACTGTGGAAACTTCACACTGGACTTCAAGCATCTTGCAGTGTGTGCCTCTCCATTCTTCCTCCATACTCTGGGTCCTTGGTTTCCAAATGAGATGCAAAAGTTGCTCTCATCAGAAAAGAGGACTTTGGACCACTGAGCAACATACCAGGTCTGTTTTTCTTTCTTTAGCCCAGGTAAGACGCTTCTGACGTTGTTTGTTGTTCAGGACAAGGACAATAACGGCTTGACAAGAGGAATACGACATTTGAAGCCCATGTCCAGGATCCGTCTGTGTGTGGTGGCTCTTGATGCACTGACTCCAGCCTCAGTCCACTCCTTGTGAAAGTCCCCAACACTTTTGAATGGCCTTTTCCTGACAGTCCTCTCCAGGCTGCGGTCATCCCTGCTGCTTGTGCACCTTTTTCTTCCACACCTTTCCCTTCCACATAACTTTCTATTAATGTGCTTTGATGCAGCACTTTGGGAACATCCAACTTCTTTTGCAATTACCTTTTGAGGCTTTCCCTCCTTATGGAAGGTGTCAATGATGGTTTCCTGCACAACTGTCAGGTCAGCAGTCTTTCCCATGATTGTGATTCCTACTGAACCAGACTGAGAGACCATTTAAATGCTCAGGAACCCTTTGCAGGTGTTATGGCTTAATTAGCTGATTAGAGTGGGACACTTTGAGCCTAGAATGTTGCACCTTTTCACAATATTCTAATTTTCTGAGATTGTGGATTTGGGGTTTTCATGAGCTGTAAGCCATAATCATCACAATTATGACAAATCACGGCTTGAACTATCTTGCTTTGCTTGTAATGAGTCTATCTCATATATTAGTTTCACCTTTTAAGTTGCATTACTGAAATAAATGAACTTTTGCACAATAGTCTAATTTTTTGAGTTTCACCTGTACATGTTACATTTGTGGATTAATATTCAGGGTGTTAAAGGGAAGGTATTCTAATTTTAGAATGATTCCATTTTGGCCAGACCTTGAAAAAAAATGTTGTGCTTTCATACTCAAGCAGCAGATGGCACCTATGGCACCTTTACATGTTTTCCAGGCTCTCCTTATAACATATTCCTCAGACATTAAACAACTGTCACGAGCAGCCACCAAATAGAACAAGTCCCAAGAAAAATAACTGTTTCATAACTTGAAATGTGAAGTCACTTAAGATAGTTTTCCTTTAAAACTAACCTTGTCCATACACAACAGCGTTTGTGCCACATATACGCCAATCAAAGTTCTCACTGCAGATGGCATCAATGTTGGTACTGTCCGTGCCATGAAATAGCTGTTGTTCGTATACATTCTTGCCAAAATTCCTTGTTTTCATCTCTTTTTTTTGCCTGGGAAATATTTACAAAAAAAAGACAGATTCAACAGGCATTTTTGCATTACAACGTTTTTCTCTGCAAGGTCTCTTTGAAATCTCCAGGCTCCAGATCCCAAAACGGACTTTACGAATAAATGAGGAAACAAAAAAGCCAGTTTCCTCTGCATTACATAAACCCTCTGGAGCCCCTCAACCTGCCTGGTTGAGAATCCAGGGTTATAAGCTTGATTTTGACCTTGGCAGGATACCGCACTGCCACAAATCCCCCCCTTTGTTTTGACCCCATAGGGGGAGGAACACACAAACCTAAACTCCTTGTTTTAAACCTTCTGTACCGGCTAGCATCTGTAAAGGTCCAATCCTGTCTGACTTCATTTTCATCAAAGGGAGACGCTACTGCCTGCCCCAAGAGGTGACTTCCCCTGTCTCCCCTTACTTGGGCTCTACGATATCCCTATGCCTTTTTACGAGTGCGCTTTCAAAAGCGCAGTCTTTCTAATTTCCTTGAGACTATACTAGTCCTTTTACCACTAGGGGGTTTACAAATCTCTGTACCCTTTGTAACCTGAGGTTGACCCCTAAGCTTTAAGTGGCAGGTAACCATGGGGGGGGGGGGGGGTCATCTGGTGCCTAGGTTAAAGATGTCAAACTGCACCCAACAAAATATTCAACGTACAACTGATAGGCATTCCAGAGGAAGGAATTCTGAATCCGCCACAACCTCTTCACCGTATGTGTGAAAATTGTCTTCTTAAACATTTTATTAATCATGTCGAACTCTTTAGAACTCTCAGGTATGCAAACTTTCTGGGAAACAAAAAGATATACAATTGACTACAATTCAGTATTTTGCTTAGTTCAATACATTTGCAAAATAAAAGATATGTCTATTGAGGCAGCCATTTGTAAGCATAAGCAGTGATCAGGCTTTTAGTTCCCTACTGGCTAGAAACCTTTTGTGGGGGCAGTCTGGACCACATGTACTAGCTAGAACTCCAGCTAAAACTTTTTTTTAGCTGTTGTGCATAAAATAGCTCCTTCATACTCTATACAAAAGAGCATAATCTCTATCTGGATTTCTACTTTTACCATAAATATCTTTAGACATACTGAATGTATGTAATGACAAGGGGTGCTGAGGTGTGCTGGAGGCTCTGTTGATCTTAGCTCCTGGGGAATATATTGTCACTG